CTGAATGAACTAAGGGATTCGGAGACGGTTGGAGGGCGGGAAGAGTTGGAGGTAAGAGAGGAAGAGAGAGAAAAGGAATTAAAGAGGGTGTTAGCTACTTTGGCATAGCCCAAGAAACTAGTTGGAGACAAAATTGAGGGCGTTATGGTTGGAGGAGGGGGACCTTAATACTATTTCTTTCATAGGATAGAGGTGAAATAATAGGAGAAATTTTATGGAGACGACGGAGGTAGAGTGGGTGGTGTGAACAGGAGAGACAGTAAAAAAAGGCTATAGCAGGGTTCTACCTAAGTTTATTTAAAGAGATAGGTTGGAGACCAAAGCCAAGAGGAATACAGTTTAAGAAAATTTGGGATAAGAAAAGGGAGTGGCTGGAGAGGGAAAGTGGAAGGAGGAGGTGTGGGGGGCAGTAGAGAGTTATGCAGGTGATAAAGCCCTAGGTCCAGATAGTTTCACATTGGCTTTCTTCCAACAGTTTTGGAGCACGGCCAAGGGGGAGGTGTTGGAGAATGCGACGGTATTCTAAGAGGCCGAAGATTTTGAGAGAAATCTTAATGCATCTTTCATAGCCATCACCCCGAAAAACGAGGAGGTACGAGTATTATAGACCTAGTAGTCTAGTGGGAAGCATTTATAAGATCATTTCTAAGATGCTTTCCAGTAGACTAAAAAAGGTCTTGGATGAGACAGTGTCTACTTCATAGAAAGCTTTTGTGTAAGACATATTCTAGATGTAGCTTTGGTGGCAAATGATGCAGTGGACTCCAAGAAGGAAGCTAGTAGAACTGGGTTTGTTGTGCAAGCTAGATGTTAAGAAAGCATATGATCATATCAACTGGGATTCCTGGACTTCATTATGCTGAGTATGGGCTTCGAGGACAAAGGAGAAATGGATAAGATTTTGCATATCTACAGTCATATGCTTGATATTTGTGAATGACAGGCCTAGTAGATTTTTTGGTTACTCAAGGGGGTTGAGACGGAAATTCATTATCGCCGATGTTGTTCACATTAGTAATGGAAGCAACAAGCAGAATGATGTATTAAGCAGTGATGCAGGTACATTTGAGCGGCTTCTCGGCTATGTTTATAAGTCAAGGCATCATAACTCACCTTTTATTCACGAATGACACTAGTATTTTTTGATGCCGATAGGAATCAATTGGAATAGAGGAAACAACCAAAAATCTGAGAAGTTCTTCCATCTACATTCTTTTTGCAATATCTGCTCCGCCATACACCTAAACGGAACTAGAATAAAAACATATTTCCGGCCATCTCATACATGTTCACCCCCAAAAACAGCTTTTCAAGTAACAAAGGTCCATCTCCTGATGTCTGATAGAGTGGGTCTTTCTGCTACTTGTTGCCCAAAGTACCCAACTATGCACCTTTTTAGCAGACCAGTATCCTTCATGCCAGCTAGCTCCGAGATAACAATATCTCCTTTGACTGTAGTGGTAGCTGATTCTCTGAGAAAGTTTGACTGCCATTTACAGATTTACTCTCTCGTAATGCTTTGGCATAGGGGTAGTTCTCATCAGTAATCCTGGGAGGCTCTGCAATGCTCTGTTGTGAATAGCATTTAATGAACCTTTTTATCTTAAAGGCTATGTCACTCCACCCCGCATTTAAAGCTAATTCAGGAATTATTATAACCAACCTCTCATCTCCCAGAAGTGACAAAATACTCATTTTTCTTCCATGATTGTTGTCCTTCCTAGAGCAGAAATATTCTGTTAGGTGCTTCTTGGTTTTCCATCCCCTAACCATATTCCTCTGATTTTTCGAGGCCTCTTTAAGGATGTTGCAGATCCATTCCATAATCTTTCTGCTTAATGTTGAGCGTCTTATCATATTGCAGCTTCTTTTCACCCAGTCATACCATACGTCTTTGTTGAAAGCCCACCTGGTGACGTCAAAAGTATAAAACCCACATTGAAGTAAATTCTATTTTCCTCCATGGGATCTATAGTAGCAGCTTGGCTAAGTAGTGAAAGAGAAGATGATTTAATCAGTAATCACAGTGGGTGAAAACTGGGTTTCAGAACGAAAGGAAGGAATTCCGGTAAGGAGACACCGGAAAAGGTAGTTCTACAATCCTAAGAAGTAGGAAAGAGAGTTCTCGGGAAAAGTGCCCGGGAGCATTTTATATTATTTTCTTTTTCATTTTTTAAAGTTTATTGTTAAGTTCTCTACTTTTTATGACAATTGTATACTGAGATTTTCCCACAACCACAACAAGAGTATTATCCCACACCGTGGAGTCTGGGGAGGGTAGTGTGTACGCAGATCTTACCCCTACCTTGTGAGGATAGAGAGGCCGTTTTCAATAAACCCTCGGTTCAGGAAAGCATAAGCACCACATTAATGAAAATATAGAAAAGAAGGGGCAATACCAAAAGCCATATAAAAGCAGAATAGAAACAACAAGACAATAAGGTGATCAACAATGAAAGAAAACAACGGCTAGTCATAAAAACCTACTACCAATAGAAAGCGAGACTGCATGCCAATACTACTATTATGAACACTATAGACTACCTACTCTACTACCCTAATCCTCGACCTCCATACCTTCCTATCAAGGGTCATGTCCTCGGTCAGCTAAAGCTGCGCCATGTCTTGCCTAATCACCTCTCCTCACCTTTCTTTGGCCTACCTCTACCTCTCCGTAAGCCCTTCAATGTCAACCTCTCACACCTCCTCACCAGGGCGTCTGTGCTCCTCCACTTCACATGACCAAATCACCTAAGCCGCGCTTCCCGCATCTTGTCCTCAATAGGGGCCACACCCACTTTGTCGCGAATAACCGCATTTCTGATCCTATCTAACCTGGTGTGCCCGTACATCCATCTCAACATCCTATCTCTGCTACCTTCATTTTCTGGACATGAGCGATCTTGACTGGCCAACACTCAACCCCATACAAGATCGTTGGTCTGACCACCACTCTATAGAACTTACCCTTAAGTTTCGGTGGCACCTTCTTGTCACACAAAACACCGGAAGCGAGTCATCCCGCCCCAATACGACGCGTGACATCTTCATCAATCCCCCCATCCCCCCTGAATAATAGACCCAAGGTACTTAAAACTCCCTCTCCTAGGGATGACCTGCGAGTCCAGCCTCACCTCCGCTTCCCCTCCTTGAGTCTCGCCACTGAACTTATACTCCAAGTATTCTGTCGTGGTCCTGCTCAACTTGAAACCTTTAGATTCCAGGGTCTGCCTCCATACCTCTAATTGCACATTCACCCCGTCTTGCGTCTCGTCAATCAATACAATATCATCTGCAAATAGCATGCACCACAACACCTCCCCTTAGATGTGGAGCGTCAGTACGTCCATCACCAGAGCAAACAAAAAGGGCTGAGTGCCGGCCCCTGATGCAACCCCATCATAACCGGAAAATGGTCCGAGTCCCCACCCACCGTCCTCACTCGGGTCTTTACCCCATCATACATGTCCTTAATCAACCTAACGTAGGCAACAAGTACACCTCTAGCCTTCAAACATCTCCACAAAACCTCCAGCGGAACTTTATCGTACGTCTTTTCTAAGTCGATGAACACCATATGCAAGCCCTTCTTTCTCTCCCTATACTGCTCCATCAATCTCCTAACAAGGTGGATGGCTTCTGTAGTCAAACGCCCCGGCATAAACCCAAACTGGTTCTCAAAAATATACTCCTCACCCTAAGCTCTAGCACTCTCTCCCAGACTTTCATAGAATGGCTAAGCAACTTGATACCCCGATAGTTATTGCAATTTTGGATATCACCCTTGTTCTTGTATACAGGAACCATCGTGCTCCACCTCCACTCTTCGGGCATGTTCTTCGTTCTAAAAATAACATTAAGTAACCCATATCAAAATTATTACTTTATTAAAAAAAGGCATTATGTTTGTATAAGTTCTCTACTTTTTATGACATTTTTATACTGAGATGTTTTGACAATATTAACAAAATTATTACTTTGTCAGAAAGAGGTTCATCTATCTTGAGGAAGGGTCATCCCATGATATTATATCACAATAATATGATAAACTAAAATAAGCAGGAACGGTCGCTATGAGTATTGCTGAAGAGATGAGTAAAAAAGAAAATAACATATTAGCTAGGCGGCAACATACACTGGTCGCCATCGCCTACTGGTAGTGAAAGCTAATTTGTGAAAATAGATTCTACGCTAATAAAGTAAGTTAACACTCTATAATTAAATAAAATTATTCGAATATAAATGTTTACTTAAGGTAAAAGTCCTCAAGGGTCAATGACGCACGGTTCGAAACTCGGTGGATAATAGCCCGTCCTCTAACGTGTCCGCTTATAAACCAGTGAGATGTGTCTAACCCACACATCACAAGCTATGCTCTTACTACTGGACCAAAGCCCAGGGTTTCCCAAGATCAATGTTTTTAAAAGCAAAAATTGGAAGGAAAAAAACAAGGTCCATGGGGCTTAAAGCAAAAAGCAAGAAGTGAAGTGCACCATTTACTAGAACTAAAGAATATTAAACATCCATGATTTAGTACAATTAAAATGAAATTGTAATAAAATAACTAATTTTAACATCCAATATACCATAATCGCGATATCCAACCCTCAAAGTTGAAATTCAAAGAAGCGACAAGTTCTCATTAGAGTAACTTTGTGCACCATTGTTTGAGGTACAAACTTCTCTATAGCACATGGCTTTACCCATGAAGCAATAATTCTTCGCTTCGCATCCCTTTATTGCTTTAAGTGACAAAGTGATAGATTTCAGCAATACTGCCCAAGATATCCTATAAAATATTCTATAAACTTTTTCTTATTCAAGTACAACAAATCTAGACATATATGAATCTAAGCACATATTCTCTTGATATTCTAACAAACATCAATAGCATGTAGAAAATCGGGTGCCACAAAATGCAAAAAGTTAATGAATTGTGAGACAAAGTTAAAGCAGGATATCTGATGGGTGGGGGGCTTCAACTCATTTTCCTGACTTACATGACATAAAAGACATTGCTGCTAGTGCTGCGCCACGATGCATAGCAGTGCAACATATAGCTGCCTTTTGAAATGATAATTCGAGGATGGAGCCAGAAACTACTAACACTTCCTGAGCACATCCAGAAAGAAGGTGTCAAATTCACAAGTTGTTTTTTCAATTATGAAAACAAAATAACAAAGTTCGTGCTCTCTCATCTTTTTAATTTTAATTTTTTTGAAATAAGCACCTGCATGCAGGTAAACAATAATGGAAAGACCACAAATATTGCTGCCATATTGGCATGAATAGGAAGAGAAGAAAAACAGATAAGATAGACGAAGAATTTTCAAATAGCTAGTAATCATTAGGTTTAATCAAAATTTGTGGTTTTCTCTAAGCTAGTACGTCTTGTGCTTGATCAATTTGGACAAATAAAGTTTACTTTGGTTTGCCATGGTAAGGAAGCAGCACAGCTGGGTAAACAAGTGGAAGAAGGAAAAAGGACTTTCATAAAAAACCAAGACATTAGCATTGCAATCATAACTAGACATAATACAAGATCCTGCGGATTCCAGGAAAAATAATTGGGTCTGGAGACTAGCCAAGGAGTTGGAACACGCTGGTTTGCCTACATCTACAGGAATTATATCCGTCAAATGGATAACACAACTGCACCGTAAAAGCTGCCTAGATTCCTAAATGGCTGATAATCATACTCAATATCCATCAGGTGAAGGAGGTGACATGGGGCATAGAGAGAAAGGATACAATGTTCCACCTACAAAGACGTACTAATTTGACTAACGTTATACCTAGATTGGGAATACCCTAGTAGAAGAGAACACGGATATAATCGAGTGCGGTTCAATTTGAAGTGTGCACTTTGCTTCTTCACTTAAGGCCCAGTTTTATCCTTGTTTTTCTCCTTTATTCAGCTTTTAAGTCAAATTTAAAAGTGACTGCTGCTTACTCGGAGCGCTTTGAGCCTTTACTGAACGAAACAGACGCTGCTCTGAAGCTGTTCCGTTGACACCTATGTGAAGCGAGGACCCGTTGCTCTTATTTGCAGAATAGCTGTATACAACAGCGAGATTGCTTTTAATAACACAGTTTGATATCAAAGGTCCAGGCTCCTCCCCTGAATTATCCAGTAACTTTTGACACTTTTATCGATGGCGAATATGAAGTTGAAGCATCTGATCAAGGGGGAACAATTCCGGCAAGAACAATGGTAGTTGCTTTGCCTCAATATAACAGGAAGCACGATCATTTGACGAGAAAGAAAGGGGCGGATGAAGAGGAAAACGATCTGGAGCATATGCATGAAGTGCAAAACTCGAGATTGAAGAAAATGAAACCCCAGTAAACAGAATTATGCAATGTCTCGAATATGAAACTGCATGTACCAGGTCAAATAAGTGGGAAATGGTCCATATGTTTAATCTTAATCTATATTGATAAGCAAACTGGAGTTACCTGGAACTACCTAGAAGGGTCCAGTAGGGAGCTTTAATCACGTGGGAAGGTTGTTCTCAAAGCCAGAAAGAGTCTGAATTAGATGGAGTCTTGGGAAATAGTTTCTGTTTGCGGGGAGGAAGTTGGGAAGTGGAAATTTGCTTTTACAAGGTGTTAGAGACTGGAAATTGGAGGAATGTCAAAGTGGACGAGGAAGGAAATTCTCGAATTTGTATTACTTTTTAGAGTGTCTTTCATAGGTTTGCGGAAAGAGTTATTGAGGTACTGTAGGACATAGAACAAAAATAAATGTAAGCAATGATGAGAAAGGAAGACATTTTTGGGAGGCGAGAAACACGAAGCACAAAACAAGCAACGGACCTACAGTTAAGGTTAAATGACTTGTTTGAAAAAGATCATGGGCAAAGGTAAAAATGGGTTGAATTTCCCTTGCACTTTGTGACTGAAGTCTAAGTTTGTTCTTTAGCTGCTGCAGTAAGCCCATAAAGGCAAAAACGAGTCACTTTGGTAAAGACGGGGTCGGAACGAGACACTTAACCGAGGACAAACTTGTTCCATTTTGCATAGTCGAGGGACACTTTTGACTCTTTACCCATTAATAAAAGTATAAGGGTGATATAGGAATAAAAAACTAAAACACTAAAATGTTAAATCATCAGATATTAACATGTAACAAAAACATGCAGGTGGTTGGGATCTTTTAACCCGAAGGAATGATTTTTCTCATATTTCAGTGTTATGTGAGAACTAACTTTTTAATTAAACCTAGATTTTTCAAAGAGCATGTCTGGTTTCATTATGTTCCTGATTTAAGCATTTTTCCTATATATGTTTAAACCTTGAACAAATATGATTTTTTCATTAATTTTGTTATCATATCTATACAAACATAGGAAAGAGGTAACCAAAACCTTTGGAGAGCAGCGGACAAAAATAGATGTGAAATTAGCAAAGGCCTCGACCATATCAGGCTCTTGATCACATATATATGAGGAAGTAAGAGCCATAATTGATGTCGACTTGGAAAATCTTTCAAAGATGCTGACAAAAAGATGTCTGTATTCTTCTCTACTGCCAAATTCCTCAATGAGAACAGAAGCTGCAAAAGTTATTGATCAGCTGAAACAAAGGTAGTTGTATTGGAACTCAGCTAAGTTGCCAGTTGGCAACTCTTACGACTATCAAAAGAAGAAAAACAGATTCAAGCAGACAAAGCCACAATGACCTAAAACCATTTCCTGGTATAAATTTCCGCAGCAAAAAGACTAGTTAAAGCCATTGCTTCATTATTGAAATTGAGACTTGTTTTAAGAAAATTTCAGAGATACAATGATACTGCTTCTGCAGAAGGGCACAAGGGAAGTAAATACATCTAAGAACGAAGAATTGTACNTTTGAGGTTTTGGTGGTTGGAACTTATATTTCTTGACTAGAATTAATTGGTTATCTCGTACTGATGTTAAATTGACAAGATACTACCGTGGGTGACGACACTTGACGTTTTGATGCCGTAACTGAGGTTTAAGGTGAGTGGGAACCCTCTCTTTGGGTTGTTTTTCTGGGATTAATTGTGCTATATGTAAATATGATCCTATTTGTTGTGTGGGGACATGCTTGTATATGCATTTGACTAGTTTTAAATGTACATGAGACTAAACATATGTGGTAATTATATCACCAATTACTTGTTGTAAAACATGTTGTACTTGTACTTACTTGATACACCCTATAAACGATGAAAGACGTTCTTGTAGATGACATAAATGTACAAGCAAGTATCTTGTATTGAATAAGGCTATGGGTGGGAATAATAGAGGCTTTTCTATTATTATTTTTTTTGATAAGGTAAATTGTATTAATCAAAAGGGAGAAAAAAACTCCCGTATACAAGAAGTATACCAAAAAGTAGAGAATTTACATCAAAACATGATTCTCTGCAAAAGACGCCCAATCTTCTAAACAACTAGGGGCTATATGAGTGCACTAAAAAGCGATCAAAGATAAAAGCCTATTCTTAAGATGTGAAAAAGGAGACTCAATCCCATCAAAAGCTCTCCTATTTCTCTCCCCCCAAACTATCCACATGAGAGCTAGCGGGGCGAACTTCCACGCCTTTTGCTTTCTTCTTCTGCGAGAACCGGCCCAGCTATGTAGCATTTCCTTTACAGTGCTTGGCATCACCCATTGAACACCAAAAAGATTCAGGATTGCCCTCCACAAGCCCGAGGACACAGGGCAATGCAACAAAAGATGATTAACTTCTTCCCCTGAGCTTTTACACATGTAGCACCAACTAACAAGTGTAATTCCTCGCTTTCGCAGATTTTCCGCAGTTAAAGATCACTCCCCTCGCCGCTAACCATGCAAAGAAACGCACCATCGCGGGCGCTTTAGGAATCCAGATCGAGGAGTATGGAAAAGTGGCCTCCTCTCTCACCAACATACTCTGGTAAAAGGACTTTACGGTGAACAAACCATCGCCACGTAGCCCCCATCTCCAAGAATCACAAGGTGGCTGGGGCTTGTCTTGCCCATATAGCAGTAACAACAAATCTTGGAGCTTCGCAATCTCCCAATCTTGCATGTTCCTTCTAAATGAGAGGTCCAATACTACCCCCCTTCGTGCTCCTTGCGAATCTGTTGGACCATCAGTTCCTTCTGATTTGAAACTCTGAATACGTAGGGAAAGAGACTCTCAGAGTAACCTCTCCACACCACCTGTAATTCCAGAAGCTGATTCTCCGTCCATCTCCCACCCTGTAAGTGATGTTGCCATTAAAGGCTTCCCAATTCTTCATGATGCTCCTCCACATGCCACACCCAAAAGGAGCTGTTATTGCCTTAGTCCTCCAACCCCCTCCTGTGGAATCGTACTTTTCTACTATGACCTCCCTCCATACAGTATGCTCTTCTACCCCGAATCTCCATAGCCACTTCCCCAACAACGCTCTGTTGAATACCCTAAGAGCTTTTACTCCAAGTCCACCCCACTTCTTTGGGGAAGTGATTGTGTGTCAATTCACTAGATGAAACTTTCTAGTTCCATCCACCGCATCCCAAAGGAAATTCCTTTGTAGCCGCTCCAGTTTTTCTGTGATGATCGCGGGAGCTTGCAACAGGGACATGTAATAGGTGGGCATACTCAATAAAGTGCTTTTAATAAGCACTTCCTTGCCGCCTTTTGACAAGTACCGTTTCTGCCAGCCTGCTAATCGTTTTTCAACCCTTTCGATCACTGGGTTCCAAACCGTAGTATCCTTATGCGACGCGCCCAATGGGAGACCCAGGTAAGTAGTGGGAAGAGAGCCCGTCTTACATCTGAGAACATAAGACAAATCATCAATGTTAGCAACCTCACCCACCGGGAAAACCTCACACTTGCCGAGGTTGATTTTGAGCCCTGATATTATCTTAAACCACTGCATGACCTGCTTCAGGTAGGTCAACTGATCCATATCGGCATCACAGAAAACTAGGGTGTCATCCGCAAATAGCAAATGGGACTCTTTGGGCACTGAACACTCCGATCGGAGCTGCGAATCCTCTCAAGAAGCCTCCGCCCGCCGCACGATCCATCATTTTACTGTTAGTTTACATATATGTATAGTGTAGTCTTGTCTCACATTGGAAGGGGAGTAATATCTCCTTGTAGTGTATAGCTATAAATAGGGACCTTTTGTATTATATTTATTATCTAATATCAATAACATATTTTTTCCCGTGCCATCTCACATGGTATCAGAGCAATAGTGAGATATCCGTCGTTGTGCATCATTCCAGCGACTTCCGGGAAGAAAGACCTCTTCGCCGTGCAATTTTCTGGCGACTTAGAAGGCTGTCCGTAAGCAAATCACTTTTTGTTGGTGTTGTGCAAAAACCAACACCACCACAAGACTCCTCAGGCTCCAACGACCAAACCCCAGTCAACCCCACCGGAAAACACACGTCCACACGCCCTCACGGGCCTGGAAAAGAAAAAAATTTCCGGCGGGATATGACCAATGCGCCGGCGCGTGAGCACTGTTCCGGCCAGATTTTGAAAACGTTCCAGTTGAACAGTAGGATTGCCCGGTAATTCCGATCCTACCCTCACTGGTTTTGTTTCATTCCGACCACTTTGAGTTTTTTCCGTCAGCTACAGTAATTCCGGCGCAGAACAATGTTCTGTTTTCCTGCTGTAATCAGTGTTTTTCAAGGTATTTCTTCAGTTTTCTCACCGAAGTTACTTATTTTCACTATTTCAAGCTAAACCTACTACTACAAATTATAGCGACATGGGAACCGATGCTTTGAATAGTCGGATGGTTTCTTTAGCAGATTATATTAAGTTCCTTCAGTACAAAGCATGTAAGCAGACATCTTCTGAGATAGCTTCTGTTGTTCAAACAGGTAATAGCGTGACTTGCTTCTCCCAATCTTCATCCTCTGAGTCTTGGGTCATTGATTCAGGTATATCAGATCATATTTTTGGTAACAAATCTTTTTTCACTACTATTTCGTATTCTCAATCTCTTCCAAATGTTACAATGGCCAATGGGTCTCAAACCATGGCAACTGCAATAGGTCAAGCAAGCCCACTTCCTTCCTTACCTTTAGATTCAGTCCTTTATGTTCCCAATAGTCCTTTTAATCTCATAGTTGTTAGTCGCTTAGTCAAATCATTTAAATGCGCTGTTTTATTTCTTGATGACCATGTTTTTATACAGGAACACAGTACGGGGCGGATCATTGGTACCGGGTGTGAATCAAACGGACTTTATTACCTTATCCTTGCTAAATCACATGGACTCACATCTTGTCTTCCTTCTACAACTTGTCCTGTTACTGATTCACCAGATTTATTACATAAACGGTTGGGACATCCCAGTTTGTCAAAACTTAAGAAAATGATATTCGGTTTATCTCACTTGTCAGCTCTAGAGTGTGAGTCATGTCAGCTTGGTAAGTATACCCGCTCCCATTTCCCTCGGCGTCTTGATAATCGAGCAGAGTCACCTTTTACTTTAGTCCATTCAGATGTTTGGGTTCTTAGTCGGGTCAGTTCCACCTTGGGATTCCGCTACTTTGTCAGTTTCATTGATAATTATTCCAGGTGCACTTGGATATTTTTGATAAAAAATCGATCTGAGTTGTTTTCTATTTTCAAGACTTTCCACGCTGAAATTCAAAATCAATTTGGGGTTTCTATTCGCACATTTCGTAGTGATAATGCCCGGGAGTATTTGTCTTCCCCATTTCAGCAGTTTATGAAATCTCATGGGATTATTCATCAAACATCTTGTCCGTACACATCTCAACAAAATGGGGTAGCTGAAAGAAAGAATAGACATCTTATTGAAACTGCTCGTACCCTACTCATACAATCTCATGCTCCGTTGCGTTTTTGGGGGATGCCGTTCTTACATCTTGCTATCTTATTAATCGTATGCCATCTTCAGCTATCCAGAACCAAGTTCCATTCTCTGTCATGTTTCCCCACTTACCTTTGTTCTCTCTTCCACCCCGTATCTTTGGAAGCACTTGTTTTGTCCATAACCTTATTCCAGGAACAGATAAGTTCGCTCCTCGTGCTCTTAAGTGCGTATTTCTGGGTTTCTCGAGAACACAAAAGGGGTATCGATGCTACTCTCCTGACCTCCAGCGGTACCTTATGTCCGCTGATGTTACCTTCTTTGAAACCCAATCATACTTCACATGTTCAGGTCATCACTTAGATATTTCTGAGGTACTACCAGTTTCATCTTTTGGAGATTCAGTCACTCCAGCTCCACCACTTATAGCTCCAGTTGTAGCTCCACCACCTACAGCTCCAGTTGCAGCTCCACCACCTATGGCTCCAGTTCCTCCACATAATCCAGTGCAACCTTCTGCAGCTCCACTACTCTTGACTTATCATCGTCGTCCACATCCAGCATCAGGCCCAGGTGATTCACGCCCCGCATCAGATTCTGCACCTACTGCGGACTTGTCTCCTCTTAGTCAACAAATTGCACTCCGCAAAGGTGTACGATCCACACTTAATCCTAATCCCCACTATGTCGGTTTAAGTTATCATCGCCTGCCGTCACCTCATTATGCTTTTATATCTTCTTTGTCTACTGTTTCTATCCCTAAGTCTACAGGTGAGGCACTATCTCATCCAGGATGGCGACATGCTATGATTGACGAGATGTCTGCTTTACATGCGAGTGGCACTTGGGAGCTTGTTCCTCTTCCTGCAGGTAAGTCTACTGTTGGTTGTCGTTGGGTCTATGCAGTCAAAGTCGGCCCGGATGGCCAGGTTGATCGGCTTAAGGCTCGTCTTGTTGCAAAAGGATATACTCAGATTTTTGGGCTTGATTATAGTGATACTTTCTCTCCCGTGGCTAAAGTAGCATCTGTTCGTCTCTTTTTGTCCATGGCTGTTGTACGTCATTGGCCTCTTTATCAGTTAGACATTAAGAATGCTTTTCTCCACGGTGATCTTGAGGAAGAAGTTTATATGGAGCAACCACCTGGTTTTGTTGCTCAGGGGGAGTTTAATGGTTGTGTGTGCAGATTGCGCAGGTCACTATATGGTTTGAAACAGTCCCCTCGAGCTTGGTTTGGTAAGTTCAGCACAATTATTCAGGAGTTCGGCATGACTCATAGTGAGGCTGATCACTCTGTGTCTTATTGGCATTCTGCTCCTAATATGTGTATTTATCTAGTGGTTTATGTTGATGATATTGTTATTACTGGCAATGATCAAGATGATATTACTAATCTGAAGCAACATCTCTTTCAGCACTTTCAGACTAAGGATCTGGGCAGATTGAAGTATTATCTAGGTATTAAGGTCGCTCAGTCTAGCTCAAGTATTGTTATTTCACAGCGGAAGTATGCCTTAGACATTCTTGAGGAGACTGGAATGATGGGTTGCAGACCTATTGACTCTCCTATGCAGTTGCTCAAGGAGTTAACGTTCGGAGAAATCAGTAAGATGGAACTAGTGTGTGATAACCAAGCTGCTCTTTATATTGCGTCAAATTCGGTGTTCCATGAGAGGACTAAACACATTGAGATCGACTGTCACTTTGTCAGAGAAAAAATACTTTCAGGAGATATTGTTACAAAGTTTGTAAAGTCGAATGATCAACTAGCAGATATTTTCACTAAGTCTCTTACTGGTTCTCGTATTAGCTACATGTGTAACAAGCTCGGTATATATGATCTGTATGTACCGGCTTGAAGGGGAGTGTTAGTTTACAGATATGTATAGTGTAGTCTTGTCCCACATTGGAAGAGGAGTAATATCTCCTTGTAGTGTATAGCTATAAATAGGGACATCTTGTATTGTATTTATTATCTAATATCAATAACATATTTTCTTCCGTGCCTTCTCACAACTTAGAGCATCCATCACTAGAATGAATAGCATGGGGGATAGGGGGTCACCTTGCCTGAGACCCCTGGAGCTGCCAAAGAAACCACACGAGCTACCATTAACCAGGACAGAGAATCTGACTGAGGAAATATAGAACTTGATCCACCCCCTCCATCTTACCCCAAACCCCATCCGCATCATAATGAAATCCAGGAACTCCCAATTTACATAGTCGAAAGCCTTCGCAAGGTCCAACTTGCATAGTAAGCCAGATTCCCTATTTTTTCTTCTGGAGTCTACAAGTTCATTTGCCACCAAAGCAGCGTCCAGGATTTGCCTACCTTCCACAAACGCATTCTGGGAGGACGAAATAGACACGTCAAGAACCTTCTTGAGTCTAATGGAGAGCACTTTAGAAATGATCTTGTAAATGCTCCCCACGAGACTAATAGCTCTGTAGTCTCTGATAGAAGATGCACCTTCTTTCTTAGGCACAATAGTAATAAAAGAAGCATTGATACTTCTCTCGAAAACACCATTCACGTGTAAGTATTCAATAGCTTCAATCAACTCTCCCTTAATGGTGTCCCAACAGAGCTCGAAGAAGGCCAAGGAGAAACCATCCGTCCCAGGGGCCTTATCACCAGCACAACTCGACACAGCCTCATGCACCTCCTCCTCTTAGAAAGCCCTTTCTAGCCACTCACTGTCTCCCTCCCCTATGTGGTTGAACTCTATTCCCTCCAAAGTAGGCCTCCAACTAACTTCCTCTTTGTATAAGTTCTCATAAAACCCACTATCGCCCTTTTTACCTCCTGTTCTCCCTCAATCCTCACCCCATCCACAACTAAGGACTCTATAAAGTTTCTCCTTCGATTTGCAACCGCAACCCTGTGGAAAATTTGGTATTCGAATCCCCCTCCTTTAACCAGAGCGCCCTCGATTTTTGCCGCCAACTAGTCTCCTAAGCTATTGCTAACCCGACTATTTCCCTCTTAACCTCTCCCAATCTCGCTTTCTCGGATTCATCTAGCTCTCTCGCCCCTTACCCTCTCTCTAATTCCCCCAATTCATGTATAAGCTCCCTCATTTTAACTTCTACCCTCCCAAAAACCTCCTTATTCCACCTAATAATATCTCCATTGAGCAATTTAAGTTTCTTCGAAAGGCGGAATGAAGGTGTCCCTGATACCCCGTAACTTGTCCACCATTCTTTCACTTTGTCACCAAATCCTGGCACTTTCAACCACATGTTCTCGAATCGGAAAGGAGCACGCACCCCCCTCCCTCTGCTTCCATCTAGCAAGATAGGCAAATGATCCGAAGTCAGCCTAGGTAAAGGAATTTGCAGCACATTCGGCACCCGCTCATCACAGGAAGGCGATATAAGAAATCTATCAAGTCTAGACCTTGAGTTGGAATCCTTCGCCCTGGCCTAAGTAAACCTTTCCCCTGACAGAGGAAGGTCAATGCGAAAGTGATCGTTGATGAAGTCAGAGAACTCCTCCATGGCCCTCGAAATCAGGCTACACCCTAATCTCTCCTCCGGGAATCTAATAGTGATAAAATCTCCCCTAGAACCCATGGAATGACCCATTCCCCCATAACATTGGCCAGTTCCTCCCAGAAAGCCACCTTGGACCCTTCTCCTACCGGTCCGTACACTCCCCCAAATCCCCACTCCACCCCACTCATTCTATCTTTGACAAGAGCTGCTAAAGAAAAAACTCCCTTCTTGATCTCATTTACCTCCAAGCTTCTATCATCCAACATAAGAAGAATGCCCCCGACACTTCCCGCTGCTGGGACCCAGTCATATTTCAACCAACTACCTCCCCGGACACTCCTCACAATCGCATCCGACAAAACTTCCATTTTGGTCTCCTGAAAAAACAAACTAGGTTGGCAACCCACTCTCTAACTCCCCACTTTGATGATGGCCCTTTTGTTTGGGTCATTCATCCCCTCACATTCCATGAAAGAATCTTAACTTCCATAAGTAACAATAACCCCCTTTTCCCCATCCCCCCTAGCCGAGCTCCCTTCCACCCTGTCACACACCCGACCCCTTCTCTGGTACACCACTACATCCCCTAAATTTTTTTGCTTATCACCTTGTCCCAACTCACTCTCTGCACCATCATGAAAAGAGTGTTGCTCAATCTCCCTCAACAGTTCTAACACACTATCTTCCTTCCCTTCAAAAGAAACACCTAAAAACTTTCCAAAGTTTAATAGTTTTTCCTCCATCCAAAAGGACATATCCCCTCCTCCAATCCGCGACGAAATTGGACTGGCGTCTTCTATATGTACCTTTTTCTTGCTCCTACTGGAGGAATACAAGACCATAGCATTGCTAGCAATAGAGACTTTAGGTGCCAGAAGGATTTCACCATTTCCTTGAGAGGCACCTTGGTGAAGAAATACCACTGTGTGAAACACCGTTGTCAGAAGAAGAAGGAGCGACTGTTCCCATGTGCTTAGGAGCCTTATCAGACGCAACTTGAAATAATCTGGGCCCCTTAGGATCAATTCTAATAGAATTGGGAAATGTTGTTGGGCCCATGTGTGGAGGCCCAGGCCTATACTTGCTGAAAATTTTGTCGGACCTATGATAAGAGGACCGGCCCATTCTGCCTTTCCAGCACGCATCAGTAATCCAGGGGCATTCACGTCTTTTCCTCCTGATAAAATTTTGTCTTCTTCTCCCAAATTCAAACCCCCCGTCTCTTCTCGATCTAACGTCTGATTCCGACTTAATCCACTGACCCGGAGAGTCCTCCCCTCCCTTTAGAGACTGATTTCCCCTCCTCTCCCTTCTATTTGACCTTTCCTTTTCTTTCGCCACTACCACAGGCATAAAGATAGAGCGAAATTTAGGGTTCAATCAAACCCTATAGTTCAAGTAGCCATCTTCAACCACAGTGGAGACAGGGATTCTGCCCCCTTTCCTCACCACTATCCTCACTCACGAGAGATCGTGTAGGCTGCAAGTGACATCAATAAAACCCTCACAGATTTTTCCAATCTTCTTGAATAGGTCAAGACACCAAAAGATGCACCGGGAGACCCACCATATTGACCATCAATGTTTCGCCAGAGAAGTAAGGGTCGAGACACCCATCGTGCTCCACCCATCTATCTAGCTTTAAGAAGTTCCCGTCGAACCACATATTTCCTCTGACAAGAATTTCTGAAGCTTGAGACTCGTCGACAAATCGAAAGAGATATTGCGTGTTCCTTAGTTGCGATATTTTCAGCCCGTCTTTGACGTTCCATGCCTCTGCTGCCCAGTTCCTAACAGCTTCTGGAGAACCAACCCATTTGGAGAAAGACCCAATCAAACAAGAGTCCAAGAAACCTTTACGCCTGAGAGTGTGCTCCTCGGACAACGAGAAGTGTGGCTCCTGCCCTACGTCAAGCTTTCGCTGGCATCTTCCCCCAAGTTCGAGGGCTGGCCAAGATGCAGCTTTACTAAAAGACATGCTTTCCAGCTTTCTAAATTCTAGGGAGAAGTAGGAGCTTCTCTCTCTAGAGTCTATCATATCTAAATTCGGTTGTCCCAAAATACTATTTGTAGCTCCGGTGCTGCATGATGCCGGAAAAATCATTGAAGGTCGCCGGAATCTGAAGATTTTCGCCGGAAAATAGAAAATATCTTCTGTTTTTGGAGGAACTGGGATGGGTAGGCTCGGAAAAGCCTCGCGAAGAGGCAGGCTGAAGAAGTATTGAGACCTAGTCGGAAAGAAGCCTCACACCTCGCCGGAAAATAGTGAAAGTCGTCGGATTTTGGAGATTTTTGAATGGGAAGGCTCGGAACAGCTTCGCGGCGAGGCTGTCTGAAGAAGAAAAGTTGAGATCTGGCCGAGATAACCCTCGCGCGCTGGCGCGTGGCTGAGAGGTCGCCAGAACTGGGCCGCGCGTGAGGGCGCGTGAGTTGTCGTACGCCGGAGATTCTAGCTAGGTTTTGGTCGCGGTAGGCTTGTCTCTTGGAGGGTGGTGGTACAATCCTAGGATTCATGAAAGAGAAAAGTCTTGGCCTAAGTGCCCGAGAGCATTCTCCGGCGTTATCATAATCTTTATATCTCTTAAACGAAAAGCTTTTGGGCAAAAAGGAGTCAGTTTTTCCATCTCTCGATGGATTCCGAGGGTAACGTGAACAATGTGCTCTCTAACTTGGCTAGGTGCGACGGGAGGGGGGTGATCCGATGACTTACGAATTTGAGGAAGAGGAAGATTACATGTGCCAGTTGGTGCTTCATGTGTAAAAGCTTGGACAAGACGTGAATCGCCTCCTTTTACATTGCCTAATAGCGCCTCGCTAGTGGTTGGAAATACTGTCATGGTTAAGGCTTGAGCTGGTGATTCTATGCCCTCCAATAATAAAATTTATCACTCTATATTAAAAAACATATGTTTTTGTAAGGTTTTCTACTTTTTGGTTTAGTCCTTGTATATGGGTGTTTCCATGCCCTTTAATAATAAATTTTTATTACTTTATATAAAATAAAATAAAAAGAAATGGGTCACCTGTACTAGCAAAACCGTGAGGCTACTACTTGAATTAATACATAGACAGATTAATCGCTCGTGTGTGGTGGAGCTTACTCCTATCCAATCGTTCTAGAAGTTGGAGTCGGTAGCGTATAAGCGTCCCTAGCTAGAAGGGGATTAGGAAAGCAGTTACTAGTTAAAAAACTTTTAATGGACCCTATTGCTACGTTATAGACAATGTGTACCGAAAGTACCGTACTCGTAATTATATTTGTTTATCTATGGAACTATGTGCTTTAGTATTTTCGAACCTGTGTGTCGCCTATCCGCCTTGGATGGAGTAACCATTTATTGAATCAGTAGACTCACCCCTCTTGTTATATTTTACATACGTTGAATTGGGTTACTGTTGAATTGATAATTAACAACTGGTTTTGACATGTCTTTCGCGAAATCCGTCGGATAACAATATTGCATAGTCCCTTGCTTATGCAACAATATTGGAGATGTATACTTAGGTTTACAATCGAATTAGGCCTACTAGTTGATACAGGGACTAGGATGGCTCCGAGAATAGGGTAGACTCGGTTCTACTTACAGAAAAACTTGGGAAGGTCATGCTTGGGACAAATCCCTAGGCGCGGATCATGACCTCGATTTGGATCATGACAAAATCTGTTCCTTTTCCTTCTGGTTTTGATTTCTTGTCCTTTACTTCGTTATATACTACTTAGCATGAAAAGATGCCATTTTTTCAATGACACATGAAAATGAAAATTTTTAGATACAACAACAACAACCCAGTATAATCCCACTAGTGGGGTCTGGGGAGGGTAGTGTGTACGTAGACCTTACCCCGGCCCTAAGGTAGAGAGGCTGTTTCCAATAGACTCTCGGCTCCCTCCCTCCAAGAACTCCCCACCTTGTTCTTGGGGTGATTCGAACTCACAACCTCTTGGTTGGAAGTGGAGGGTGCTCACCACTAGAGCAACATCTAAAAACTATGTTGTGGTGCAGAAGGTGACAAAAATTACTTGTATAAATATAGAAAAGGATAGGTAACAATTGGTAAGCCTCCTATATCTTGGAAAATTTTCAATTTCATCAAAGGAGAGGTAGAGGTGTGAGAGGTTGGCGTTGGAGGGCCTAAGGAGGGATAGAGGTAGGCCGAAGAAGTATTGGGAAGAGGTGATTAGGCAAGACATGGAGATGCTCTAACTTACCGACGACATGATTCTTGATAGAAAAGTGTGAAGGTCGAGGATTAGAGTAGAAGGTTAGGTAGCCTAGTGTTTTCCTTGTTCATACCAGTAGTATTCTCGTATTTTATTGGTCTTGGGTTTCTATTACTACCTGTTGTTTCTTTCATTTCAGTCATCTTACTATCTTGTTCTTATTAATGCTTCTTTTCCATGGCTTCTTACTGTTGTTTCTTGCCGTTTTTCTTTTCATTACTGTTGTGCTTATGCTTTCTAAGCCGAAGGTCTCTATTGGAAACAACCTCTCTATCTCCACAAGGTAGGGGTAAGGTCTGCGTACCCACTACCCTCCCTAGACCCTACTATGTGGGATTATACTGGGTATATTATTGTTTGTTGTATCAAAGGTTTTAAAGAAAAAAAAAAAAAAAATCAGAAAAGAAGTACCCGATGACTGAATTGCTTGCGAAAGAGCTCTGCATGCTGCCATAGATAGAACAGCATTTCCAATGTGTTCCGACTGAAAAAGTTTTTCTAACATTTGCCAGAACACTCCTAGAAGCGGAATAAGAGGATCATCCAAATCCGAACCAGTAGAAGACTCTGTTACCAGATGGCTGAATACAGTTCCCAACCTGACCAATTAGCCAACGGCTTCGCTTAGAAAGGTATACGAATGAAAAGTATTGACCAGCAGGTTATTCATAGAAGTCCTTTACAGAAGGGGAAAAACAAAAATTCAGACTCCTACTGACCTTCATAGAAAAAGTGGTTTTGCAGAATGTACACCAAACACCTTCTTTTAGACTCTTTGTGGTAATTAAGACAGACTTCACAGAGAACAAAATGGAAAAACGTATAGCAGCAAATAGTACACGTGATGATACAAATAATGCAGAATACATTCGAAAAAAATAAAAAGAAAACTGAAAAATTAAGTTGTTATTCTACAGAAGGGTTCTCAACAAAAACATTATTCATCTTTAGGGATTAGGGAACACAACGGAAATCATAATATCACTTCTGATATCTTTCTTTTGAATCAGTCATGTGGAGGGTATTGGTTCACTTTCAAAGTAAATGCTATGTAATGACTCAATTTTGTGCTAGGTTTTGTGCTTTCGGGAAGAAAAGAAGGTAAGGTTTTATCTCCCTCCTTTTACGAATGACATACTACCAGGAAATTCTCAGATGAGGTATTGGTCCAACAACGGCAGAAATTTTCAAAATTGGCAATGTGCTGTCCGGTGATAGTCTTGCACAGAAACTAGAGAGCAGAATAACATAGAACAAGAATTTTGTAAATGTTACATGTCAATTACTCTCACCAGCAACGGCATGCAAACCTTACTAATAAAAAATATTAAGAATGGAAAAATATTTAAAATGCAGATGCAAACAATAATATTGCCCAGTAGCAATTGGTTCAAACCTATGTAAACCCCTTCTTGCGCCATTCACAAACTGAGAATAAGAAGCAGGATTATGCCTTAAAGAGTGGTCTTGATTTTCATCAATCTGAAACAAAGAATTTAATTCCCAGTTAGGTAAGCTTAGAGGACAGTTAATAAACAATTTTCAGTACTATGCATCATGTGCTTTCGAAATGATCCATTTCCACCACTGACGCTGATTCTGGAGAAAGGTGAAACTAAAGGGATAGGGAACAAGGGGGACCGAGCTCAGAGAATGAATGTAGAGAGCAGAACTCGATGGCGTGCGGAGGTGGTCCAGCTGAACCTTGAACTCTAAACCATGGACTACACAACAAACAAAATAATTGCAATAACACTTTATTTAGAAGAGGAAAAAGGAACAGTAACAACACACAGAATGATGAAGAACCTCATAGCTTGCTTGAACTCCTCTACAAGCAGAAGATTGCATTCACACGTAAGGATACACGGAAATGGACTCCTTTAGAGTAAAACCATGTTATCAACATTTTGCTTAGAAGGGAGACCAGGAATTTTCCTCACCGCTGTGAATCTCTAGAGCGCAAAAGAAAAGTTTGTTTCCACGTTTCGCAGCTAGAAAAGCTACTTAACGTGTAGAGCTCGAGGGAAAGAACAAATACATAATTTGTCATTTTATGTGAAGGGGGAGAGGGAAAGACCTTAATCAACTAATAATTCACTGCCTGATTGAATATCGATTATAGGGCACAGTATGGAACATGTATGAGTTGAATGGTTTGTGCTTGCCAGTGTTAAAGAAATGCTCATGTGGTGAAAATTCAAAAGAGAAGAGTGTAGAAATACTGAAATAGAGCACAGAGCATAGAGCATGAGGCGTAGCACTTTTGGTGCTAATGTGCACTATTCGAAAAGAAAGAAACTGAAACAATACAACATAATTATTTTCGCAAATGTTAGAAGCACCTGTGAAATACCAGTTAAATAAAAGAATGAGTGTTTTTTTCCTGTAGAATCATGTTTTTCTATGTTATTTTAAGATCTTGTATACTCTTTGATTATGCAGGGACTATTTCCCTTTCATTTTATTTTCTGAGAAGGAACTACTTCCCTTTCATTTTATAAAACTATAAAATTCATTTTATAAAATATTAGAGCTGATAATTGGTCCATACATAGCATTCACAGCAATAAGACGCAATTTTAGGTGGCATTTAAGGAGACTATCTGACTATGTGACACAGCTCAAAAAAGATTATCTAATACGAAATGTTGAAAGAATTTCAGAAAAGCATTCGGGAAAAGAGAGAGAACAGTCTTTGTAGAACCACAATATAGTTATATAATATTATAAGTTCATGACATGACAGAGACACAAGAAAGGAAAGAAGATGAACTTACTAGTTTGCCAATAGCTTCATAGCAAGGGGAGACCAATCTAGCTAACAAATTATTCTTCAGCTCCTTGTTAGGTAGGGAACCAAGTAATAAAGCGATCGCGCTGACTACTTTTTCTTCATCCTCTAGAGGCAAATGCCTCTCATCCAAACTCTAAGAAAAGTATGTCAAACAAAAGGAACAAGAGAAACAAAACAATTACACTTTAATTATCACTCCAATAAAAGATAAACCAAAACTTACCGATCAAAGAAACAAGAGAAATATCTATACTTATTACTAAAAGGTGAGCAAGACAGTGCAACTGAATTATTATGTTTATCAACTTTTTGTCCTAAAATATCCCTCCAATCACCCCTACTATCAAGAAAAAGAAAAAAGGTGATAAGATCATAATATTGAAATGAATAGTTATTTTCTTTTTGATTGTTAAAATGGATAGTTATATTTTCAACTCCACTCACTTTCTATATCAACTATCTTATGCTCTTTTTTCTATTTCCATTTTAAATTTTCATTAAATTTCAATAAACTATGAACATATATACACTACAAGTACGTGACGTCCAGTTAATAATATTGGACCATCATTTCAAACCATTGACTTAATAACCAAAGCTGGGTTTTTTCACCTGAGAATGATACTGCAATACAAAACTGATGCAGCAGCATATACTCAAAAAACAAAGACCTAACACCTTCAGGTAAAAAAGATTTTGAGACACCATATGGTTTATATAGGACAAACCTCTGCAATCCAAAGTAAGATCTCCAAACTTGAATGCTCATGCATAGGTGCAGTGGCATCTTCACATAACTTGAGCAAAGCACTGGCACAAGCAGCCGAACATAAAGGTTCTGAGATGCCCGTTGCAAGAAATAATCTGAAAATAACATATAGATATTCATGGACAAGGTACAATAAACCACCCAAAAACAAGGGGAAAAAAGAGAGATGTGGTTGATAGTGGGCAAAAGAATTAGTTTTCACCTTCAGAAATAGAATGAAAACTTTGCAGAAGCAATGAGTCGGGAGGATAGTGTTTGAGGAAGTGTAGGAGGAGGAGAAGGCAATTCATGGTATTATACAAACAACTGTAGAAAAAGTACGTTGTGAAAAACAGGATGCGGGGAATCAATTTTAACCAAATAGGAGAGGTGGTTCTCAAAAGAGAAAGTTTGGGAGCAGGCAAAACTTATGCTGTGGGGAAAGGATAAATCCCCAGCCCCATTCGGTGAAGCTTTCTTCTAGCAGGTAGGAGCACAGTAAAGACAAATTACATAGTACTCACTTCATTCATTTTATATCCCTTAAGAAGTTGATAAGAGCAACAATATTGTTTTGCTTTGCAATTATAACAAAGAAAGAAGGGGATTCTCCATTAGAGCATTTGACCTGTAAGTTCTATAGAAAAATAACAAAAAATGTAGTTTTGTAGTAAAATGTATCTAGATTCATTATGTTTCAACATTGTATTCTAATAATGTAACGACCCAACCAGTTGTTTTGAGTCCTAGCGTCCCGTTGTGCGATTTGAGACCTTGAATAGGTTCATATGATGTTTTATGACTTGCATGTATGATTGGTTCGGGTCCCGAGAGGTTCAGAAGTAATTTGGAGTACTTAGTTCCTAATTAGAGACTTTAAGTTAAGAGAGATACCAAAGTCAACATTTTGAGTAAACAAGCTTAGACTCGGGATGGTTTGGATGGGACCCGCAGGGCTCGAGTGGGTTTCAGCGCGTTTGGAGTAAGTTTTTATAGATTTGAAGTGTTGAAACGTGGTTTTCTGCACTTGACTTGACTTCAGAAGAGAACTGCTCCTAATGTATAAAGAATTTGGTGAAGATACCTCGATGAGAGTTGTAGCCCTTTGAATCTAATTTCCAGAAATTTAAACCGTTCGTCATTCCGACATCTGTACAAAAAGTTTTGACTGTTATTCTAAAAATCTATATTGAAAATTTCAGCACTTGTGTATATAACCCCGTTTCGTACTTGGACTTTATTTTATCACTTTGAAGCTAGTGAGCATGAACTGAGGCGATTTTCGAAGCGATTTTCACCTAAGACGATGGGGCGAGTGATTCTCACTCAAATCTAAGATTATAACATGAATCTATCATTGGTTTTGCCTTCGAATCAAGGATTCAAAAGAGAAAAAGAGGATTTTCGAATGGAAAGTTAAGAAAGTGTATTTTGGGGTTTTGATCACCGATTTGTACTCGATTTGGAAATTAATCACATATTTGGACTCGTAAGGTTATGGGTTAGGTATCTGACTTTTATTTTGGAATTTGACCATATGAGCATGGGCTGACTTTTTGTTGACTTTTGCGATTTTGTTAAAGATAGAAGCTTTGACAATTGGAATTGATTTGACTTCCCTAAGTATTCTTTGAGCTACATTGGGCTCGTTTGACAGATTTAGATCGACAAAAGGCGAATTTTGAAGAATAAAGCTCGCCCGGGATAAAGGTAAGTATCTTGCTTAACCTCGACTTGAGAGAATATTCCAACCGAATGGCTTATGTGCTACATGCTATGTGTTTGGGGGTAACATATACAAGGTGACGAGCGTATATGCTGATACAAGGTTTTCCATGCTTGGAGCAGAATTTAGGCTTCTTTATGCCTTGTTTTGGTACATGCTCTACTTGTGATAGGCTTTAATTGTTGGTATGACTACTTAGAGCTTCTTATTCGTGTTAAAGATCATGTCTAGGCTTTTGATGCTTTATTTGGACATGATGGCTATTTGTATGTTGGATTACATGTTGGATCCATAGTCATACATTATACATATGTATACATCATGCATAGTGATTATCTCTTGTGCACATGCATACATCCCTAAATGTTTATTTCTCTGGTCCATATGGATCATAGATATTTATCTCTTTTGTTCATATGTTTATACTGGGTTGTTGTTGTTGTTCATATGTATATATCTTTGCATATGGTTATATGGACTGAGGTTATGGCACGATGGTTTGTGTCATGCCGGTTAATATGCTTATGGCACGATGGTTCATTTCGTGCGGTTGATATGATTATGACTCTTGTACGGTCTGTTCGGTTAAATATGATTTTGGCACAATGGGACATGGATTGATGATTGATTGTGGAGTTAAAATGATCAGGCACATGGATTTGGATACATCCCTATGGGGTCAAGTGATCATCCATTTCACCTTGGGTCGTGTGTTGCGCAGTGTTATTGGACATCAGGGAGGTGTCAGACACATGGAAGGTATCTGTTGATGTTGAGTTTTGAGTCTTTATTATGCATTGGACATTCTAGACTCATGTATACATGATCACCCATTTTACCTTGGGTCGTGTGTGCGCAGTGTTATTGGCCACCGAGGAGGTGTCAATTGATGTAGAATTTGAGTCTTTATCATGCATGGACATTCTAGACTCATGTAGAAACATCCATGCATATCATCTACATATGCATATTCATGCATTTTACACATGCATAGGACTTGTTAGCTGGTTGTTGGACACTTGGAGGGTATCGGATTGATGTAAAGTTTGAGTTTTTATCACGCATAGACATTCTAGGCTCATGTAGAAGAATTTGAATTAATGCTACTTGTTGCATATCTAAGGGTTTAAAGAGCTAAGAGTCTCTAATAAGGTTGTACTAGGAAGTGTATTTGGAGAACCAAACACTTGGGGAAGAGTCGTAGCAAGCAACTGTGAGAATAAACGTGTTAAAGTTTGAGGGAGGATGTGGACCATCCATTGCTGCACTCAGCCACAAACAAGGGACATTGGTTGACCTGCTTAGAATTCATGGGTGATGGATGCCATGGACTATTAGAGACTTCATTTTGAGCTGGAAATCTAGGAGAAAAAAGAAAAGTATGGGGAGTGGCATGATGATGACTTGGTGCAATTTGCATGTAAAACTATCCCAAAGGAAGAAAAAAAGAAAGTGAAGCAGAATCAAGCTGGTTTAAACAAAGCAAAACTCCAGAAAGAAAGCCACCAGCAATTGTTTTTCGAGAGAAATCTCCAAAAAGCTAATTAAAAACGATAAGACCTCAATATAGGACCCTACCAAAAACTATAGCTGAAGTTTCCAAATTACCCTTACTATTAGTTTTAAACAGTTTTGCAATTAGAGTAATGCAAAAAGGTTCAAAACCAACCCTACAGCTTAAAAATACATCAGAAACTAAAACAAAACCTAAACTGATAAGACATGGCCTGCTTCCGCACTGTATCAGCATATGTTTTGGTTTCTATCTTATTTGAAAGAACATGGAAAGAGAATTCTTACAGCAAAGATCTGGTATTAGTTTGACAAGAAGATATCCACTTTGAATACGAAGCAACAACCTCTGCAGCTGATTTGTATACCTGGAACAGCAAACAAGAAAAAAAGGGAACATAATTAAAGAAAGGAGGAGGTCAATCAAAAGGTACTAAACATTGCCATAACTCAAACCTAATGAAGCAAATAGTTAGCCCAGAATCATTGTCTACAAAATTTTCAGTATGTTTATCTTTCTTCCTAACAATTTCATCAGTTCTTGCAATCCCCTTTTGTCTTTACAAGGATAAGTGAAACAAGAAAAATTGATAAGATAACACATACAAGTCTCATGAAGCCCTTAGCATCGTCACGTGGCCTACTAGATAAAATTGTGACCAAGTGAATAACAAAAGAGAAATCAATCTCTTGGGCTTCCGTGATATTAACTTCAGCTATCTGAAACAGAAAAGAAATCACACAGTGAACTTCCTAGAATAATCAAGTTTGTATCATTCTCATAAATGAACCGTAAGCAAAAACATAATCCGTAAAGTGACCATTAACAGAGAAACAACATGATTTGAGAATGCAAACCATATGTGAAGCCAAAAAAGAGCGCAGAAGGCATGACACACTGATGTCAAATTACCAGCTCTTTTACAATCAAATCATGCAGGACAGTTAAAGAGAATTGCTGAAAACAGCAAGAGCTCGAAAAAAGAAAGAAGGTCTCTACAGAAAATATGAGTACATGATCACAAACTATGGCTGAAAAATCATGTATGTACTCAAACAAAACAAAAGAATGTAAAGAAGGATTTGCTTAGAGATCAGTGTTTTAAAAGGCGTGGGCGTAAGGCGACGCGTTTTACATATGCCTCAGCGATGCGTAAGCCCCATAGGTATTTAATTTTTAATATTTCATAAAATAATACAATTACAGTAAATATTTATAAACAGGTAAAATTGCATAAAAATTGAAGAAAACTATAAATATGTGAAATATATATATGTGCTCCATCCCCACAAAAAACTAGTCAAAATAATCTATTATACGCTACTTACAAGCACAAGTAACTTGAGTCTAAAAGAATAAAGTTTTCTACATGGAGGAACAAAAAGGATGACTAACCTGCAAGGCTGCAATTTGAAGTTTGAACTTGCTGCTATGAAGGAGAATGGAGTTCTCTTTGTATTTGTAAAAAAATTAATTGAATATTCGTTGCTTTTAGGAGATATTAGCAAACTAGTGGACAAGATAAAGAATTGGGAAAGACCATGAATTAGGGCTTCAATCAATAAAAAAGGTCTTTGACTTTTAAATTTAATACATTTCAATTCCGTTTTAAAACTTTTGAGTAATTACCAAGTTGACTTTTGAGAATGTGGGTATTATATGAAGGACTTATTCAACAGATTTTGTTTTAATTTGAAAAAAGTCTCTGGGGCTTACGCCTCACTAAAAAAACGCGCCCCGAACGCCTGGGCGTACGCCTCTTGAGACTTTCACCCCACACCATCACCTCGGGGAGTTTTTGGTGCACCTCGCCCCCCAAAAACGCCTTTTAAAACACTGTTAGAGATATCTCGAAGAAGCAATGTGATCACAAAAGCGCGTAAAAGGAAGGAGTGACTTCAATCACTTACTATTACATTGCAAGATTGTTCAATGTTGGGGAATTTAATGGCTGGAAGCCTGGCACTTGCAGAGATCTGATGCAGAGCAGGAGAGAAGAGAGCATGGCAGTAGCATCTCAAGCAAATAGTGATTGTATGGATTTGTATCTCTAATTCGTTAGAATTTTTCTTTTTAATCCGAATTAGTTAGAAATATTCTATGAAAAGAACTATGAATATACATTTACGATTTTTTTATGACGGTGGCACCCAGGCCAGCTTGCGCACCTAGCATGCTCTGTATTAGTTTCACAAAATGGAAGAAAGTAAAAATAAGTTCTGTGATTCCAACAATGACAAACTGCTGAACATAAAATTAGATTTAAACAAAAGATTTGGTTTGTTAAGTATCTTTGGGAATTGAAATCACAAGGCGCAAGAAAAGTACCTTTTCATTTAAGAGGAATAATCTCCTGAATTTATTGGTTGAAATAGAAAAATCAGGTGATAAGCCTTGAGGTGCACAAGTGACTACAAACATAAAAATTATGACAGAGGGAGTTCATTGTTTAAAGATCTTGAGATGCACAGGAGATAAGCTGGGAAGTTAAAACCATCTTACAGGACGTGACCTGACACTGTTACTTGGGTAGTGTAGTATGAAATTCATGTCTACTCCAACTAGTAATCATTGGGTGATTTTGGGCCAAATCTTGTGTCACTTGGAAGGAGCACCTGCCGCAGTCTGCTCTATATTAACCACTTACGTGTTTCAGATGCAGAATGGGGTTCTAAAGCTGCCTGGAGGACAAGAGGATACAGGTCTTGCTGGAGATGGAGTAGTAGAAAAGGTAAAAAGTAGTGGCAGTCCCCCGATCTAGTGTTGAACCAAGGTAATGAGCTACGCACAATCCATGTGCGAGGTAATGCAGATATGCAGTTGATAGATGAGGTTTGGTCTTAAGACCACTCAACCTGCTAAGTTGTGGTGTGATAATCATCATGCTCTTTATATTGTTTCTAACTTAGCATTTCATGAGCGAACTGAACATATAAAGATTGATTGGTTGTTGAAGTGTGTGACCATCTCATCTAAAAGTTTAAGTTGTTAGAGAGAGCACACTTTTATTTACTGATGTCTTGAACATACCCCCTCATATGCGGGCATGATTCTTTTTCATGGGCCAAGCACGTGGAAGTTCTTTTTGATAATAGGTGACAGTAAGACTCGAACCAAGGACCTTTGCCTTTTCTAATACCATGTTGAAGTGTGTGATCATCTCATCTAAAAGCTTAAGCTGTTAGATAGAGCACACTTTTATTTACTTAATTATGTCTTCATCAGTCGTTTTGTTTACAAAAAGATTTAACAGAAGATTATCTCGATAAGGCATATCATGATAGGAGAAAAGTTAGGTGATATCTTCACAAAAAATCTGAATAGAGCTCCAACCTGACAGTGTTGTAAAAAGTCAACCAATTACGCATATAATCAATCAATGTATTTTGCAGTGGTAATAAGTTAGAGTAATTATAGGTACTTATATTGCAGGATAGATTCTAGGGACTCATATCCCATTAGTTAAGAGATATACTAGGAAGAGCCGTACACGTAATCTTCCATTCTACCAAATGAGGGTGAAAAAAAACCCACCTTTTATGGCATAATCTATATACTAGATGTGAATATTGTGTTTACACAAATTTACATGATCATGACATCTGGTGCATGTACAGAACATATATAGTTACATCGCAATTGGAGATGACAGGATAGAATGGCAAGGAGATACTAAGCGATATTTACAGTACAAATGTATTGCGTAAGGCGATATGGAAGTTTGACGCACCAACAAAAGTCTCTTGTTTCACATTGAGTGAAATTTACAATGCAATCTCCAAGCTGGGAAATCTTAGAGAAAGGAAACCTATTTATGTAAGTTCGTGTAGTGGAGCACTTATTCTTACATTGTTGAACGGATAGATGGCATTAGGCAGTGGGCCAACTGGGCTCTTCCAGAGAAAGTATCAGAAGCTACTATAAGTTGAAGGGTCGAGCAGCTTGGGAACTGAGGGCATGGAAATCAAGCCGGTAGTCATTTTACGGACAGTTTGATGAAAGGAGTAGGTGGATGTTTCATGGCAATGAGATGAATTTAAGAAACATCAAGAGCTCATTTTTGTTTCATTTACAATTTTATCGTAAAGTGTTGAAGACATAATTAAGCAAATGGATCATTATCAAAAGAAGTTCCACGTGCTTGACCCATGAAAAAGAATCAGATCGCACATGAGAAGACATGTCGAAGACATATTTAAGAGGGTGTTTGGATTGTCTTAAAAGCTGGTCAAACCAGCTTAAAAACATTGTTTGGCTTATTTTGGAGTTTGTCGAACACCAAAAGTGCTTTTAAGCCAGTGTGCGCCTAAGTCCTGAAGCTCAGAAAAGCTCAAGGAGGGCGCTTCGCCTCGCTTAAGTTGCACTTCAGTGTAAGGCAAGGTACTAAGGCATGCCCCTTATTGCCCATGAGTTCTCTCTTGAATCAAGCGGCACTAACAATAACGATAATCGGAAATAAGTGTATTAGCTGCTAAGGGAAACATTATGAATGAATTTGTTACTTTGTTCTTGAATTACATATAAGTTTTTTTTTTTCTTCATTGCGCCTTTTTTAACTAAAGCCCACACTTTAAGTGCGCTATGCGCTTAAAGCCCAAATAGACCTAGAGCATTTTTTAGAGCTTTTCGCCTTTGACAACAATGTTTTAAGCCAAAATAAGTCAAAAGCAACAAGTTGGACATACCAGCTTATAGCTTGTTAGCTTAAAAGCTTTATAAATTTGACCAAGTCTTTTAAGTTATTATTCTTTACATTCTTTTACAATCTCCAAATAGTACTCTTAGGGAATTACAAGAAACTGGACTTGTTTTACATTACAGACTCATCACATTTAACAAGTCCAACAAATCAGAAAAGTTTAATACACTGTTTCCACTTTGCCAATAGTACAAGTTTTGGAGACATCTGAACTTGAACAAGGATAAATACTCTTTTTTGCCTTCAAAGCACCTCATATTCTTTCCATCCAAACAGTCCAAGCAATGCATAAGGGAATAGCCCTCCAAACATTTCTACTACTTGCTTCTACCATTCTCTCTTATTTGAATTTCACTCATAACCAATTTTGAACAAAGTGAAAGGTGGTTGTACCAATTAATGTGTAAACAATACTTCTGGGATCTGGTACCTGAAACCGTAAAGAATTTGGCATCTGAACTTGACAATATCAGCAAGAAACGAATTTGAAAGCCATCCTCATCTATTACGTTTGTGGGGGAATATCAAATTTACAAATTGATCATTTATGGAATATAATCCTCAACTATTACTTTTTACAAAAATGATGTTTTAGTTAAATTTTGTCGGCTCTGGCTATCTGAATGCTTTGAATTTTTATATGAATATTTTGCACTATTTAACTTTGCTTTTCACTTACAAATTTTAATCAAATTATTAAATATTAAAGATTATATGTTATTTAAATAAATAAATTATATTTATTAAAAATAAATTTATATACATTTGATAACTTAAAGTTAATTGAGACACAAATCAATTTGTATTTGAACTAATTTAAACTTAAAATATTGCAAAAATAAGCTCAGTTTTCCTATTGACAGTTTTAAGGATATTTCAATCATTTTAACAGAAAAAATGCTTGTCATTACCTTTTTATCAAACATATCAACAACTTATTTCAGTTTTAGCACTTCATCCAAACACGTAATTGTTTATTCATAAATTCAGCTCCGACACTTAATAATTGTTCCTCAACACTTGGTGCTTGAAAGCTACTTAAATTCAGCTAAACCAAACAGGCTCTAAGTAATTAAAAGTGTGCTTTCTCTAATAGCTTAAACTTTTTGATAAGATGGTCACAAATTTAACATAAAGAAAGAATTGTTTTTTGTATAGATAGATGGGTAGCTTACATTCATGATGATATAAACGTTTTGGCACCATTTGGTGAATTGGAAAACTTACATCGAATTACAACAACAACAACATACCCAGTATATTCCCAAATACATTTGGACATTTACTTGGGGTTTTATCAAGGAAAAATTCAAACACCTAACCTAAGATGAAGTAAATATTTTGACAGAGATTTTAATAAGTGGAATTTTATTGTCAAAACGCCATAGGAATAGATCATGACCTTATATCTATCAAACATATTTGTGAGGATACCTTAAATGCAACTTCTAATTATTATTTAGTTCAGCTTTGGATTTTGAAAACATTATTTTATCTCTTCCAAACATCTAAATAAAGGGTTCATAATTTTGATTAACAACAGTTTAAGTATACGAGCTCTATAGCCAGATATAAGTGCATTGGTGCAATTAAAACTAGGTGTTAACTACAGCAATTGAGCCTCTGCCTCTCGCACACAGCTGCGTGAGTTCATAGTGCAGCTAAAATAGAGTCGATGGTCTATGCTATTAAGTACTGAACGTTCTCACTGTTCTGAAACACTTTTACCTCACAACGCTACACATATCAGTAACAGGAGTATAGACAATCATCCAGCGGGTATTGTCGCATTGGAATCATGCTTCCACCTCTACCAAGAAATTGATGGCTAAAACTATCCACGGTTTATTGCTGCAGCAGCAGTTATAAAAGTAAAATATGATGTTCTTCCTGTGTTTTTGGAAAAAGAACTTTATGATTTATTTTCTCTTCTGTTTGTCCTTTATGTTTTTCTTTTCATTTTCTGCTTTAGATTCTGACCTTTATCCCAACGCTAGACCACCAAGAATTCAGTATATAATGCAGCATCAAGTAGGAGATGAGCACAAAAATGCATATGTTACTGCCAAGGTTTTGGTTCACAGTACTAACCGCATTAAGTGCAAACATTTTGGCTTCCACCTCCTTCCAAGGAATATGTAAGCTGTTACTGGTCCAACCTCCAAGGAAGATCTGATATTTAATACAAAAGCAAAAGTCATTTGACTAATAGTAGAAGTTAGATAATAAAGTTGCTAACTTAAAAATAAGTTCCAGAAGTATTTAAAAGACTGTCAAAAGATGAAAAGAAAAAGAATTTTAAACAGGGAAATAACCAAATAAGATCATTATTTAGCAGTAACCGCAAAATATGATAAGGAAATACTGGCTAGGAAACTAGATATGAATAGTGGTTGCATCTTTCTGTTAAAGATGAGAGGGTAAATGGATGGTGCCAGGTACTGATAGGACGAGAAGGAAGAGAGGTGACAAACTTGAGCAACCAAGAAAATAAAAATCTGAAGCAAAAAACATGTCCAGTCATTGAAAGATGACGAACTTGAAAGGAAATCATTTGCTTCTCGGGTTAGGCTCAAATTACAGTACATATGTCTGGAATTATCTGGTCTAGTTTTCTGAGTCAAGAATGGAAACTAAGGAAAAACCTGTGTAGGAATTTCCAGGATTACACTATGGCTGCTACTCAAAAGTATTGTAGAAATCAGAAAAACTATTTAGAGAACTTCATAGAAGATTGGGTGTCTTTCGTAAAGAGCCATACTTTTTCTGAGGCTTCTATTTTTTTTTCCTGGTATACTGGTTGCATAAGGGTATTTATACCCTTATAATGAAATCTTATAACTTTATCAAAAAATAAAATTAATTACCAAACTTTTGGGCTAAATGATACCTTCTGGATAAATGCTGTAGAACCTAAAAGCTGACAAACATCCACTAGAAGCTCTGTCAGGTTCATCCTGAATTGTTCAAGGCTGTCAGGCAGGTCTACCATTACTCCATCACCATAAAAGGTAGAATCATCCACCTGTTTAAATCGAGACCCATAACCCAAAATAAATAAATAATACAGTAAAAGACTAAGAAAAAGATAGAATTAGTTTGGGGTTACTTTTATGCACGAGAACAATTAACAGTAAGTACACGGAAGGTTACTAAAAGCTAGCCAAGGTAATTATTTCGAACCTAGTTTATCAAAATGATTTACAGCTTACATTAAAGATTAGTCTACCACAAGACTCAGGTGAGGACATTGGGAGGAGATTCGGATAATTTTCCGCTTGTGATGGGGTAACACCAAGGGTCTGCGCTCAGCTCGTTCTTATATGCCTTTGCGATGGACGCACTGACGCACCATATTCAAGGGGATGTGCCATGGTGTATGTTATTCGGTGATGATAAAGTACTGATTGATGAGACGCGAGGCAGTGTTAACGAGAAGTTGGAGGTTTGGAGACAGACACTAACGGTTTTAACTTCAAGTTGAGCAGGACCAAGACAGAATACTTGGAGTGCAAGTTCAGCGACGTGACGGGGAAGACGACATGGACGTGAGGCTTGATTCACAAGTCATCCCCAAGAGAGGAAGTTCCACGTATCTTGGGTCAGTCATCCAAGGGAATGGAAGATTAATGAGGATATCACACACCGTATAAGGACGGGGTGGATGAAATGGAGATTAACATCTGGTGTCTTGTGTGACAAGAATGTGCCACCAATTCTACATAATGGTAATTAGACCGACTATGTTGTATGGGATAGAATGCTGACCAGTCAAGAACTCCCACATCCAGAAGATGAAAGTAGCATAAATGAGGATGTTGAGATGGATGTACGGGCATACTAGGTTAGATAAGATCAGGAATAAAGATATCCGGGTGAAGGTGGGCGTGACCCCCATGGAGGGAAGCGAGACTTAGATAGTTCAGGCATGTGAAGATGAGAAGCTTAGATGCCTCAGTAAGGAGGTGTAAGCAGTTGGCTTTGGTGGGTATGAGACGGGGTAGAGGGCGGCCTAAGAAGTATTGGGGAGAGGTGATCTGGCAGGAGATAACGCGGCTTCAACTTACCGATGATATGACCCTTGATAGGAAGGTGTGGAGGTCGAAAATTGGGGTAAAAGGTTAGTAAGTAGTCGAGCGTTTTTCTGTTCCGTATCGGGCTTTTTAGGGCTAGTATGTTGTTCTTAGATTACTAGTATTACATGCTATTTTCTTACTATCTTCCACTTCGATTTCCTAGTATCTTGCCGTTGTTACTACTTGTTATTGCTTTCTACCATCTTTTTTTTGGCTCTTAGATTGATGTCATTATCTTTCTGGCCATTGTTGTTGTTATTGCTTGTTTCTATTGTTCTTTTATCTTCCTGAGCCGAGGGTCAATCGGAAACAGCCTCTCTACCTCCCAAGGGTAGGGGTAAGGTTTGCATACACACTACCCTCCCCAGACCTACTAGTGGGACTCCATTAGGTTTGCCGTTGTTGTTGCTACCACTGTAGTACAATATGTTTATATTTACTGAAATATTAACGCATGAGCAAAAATTTTACCTGTCTACCAATCAAATTTTAGAGGCAGCCTCTAAGGACTAAATGATTATAGAACACCAAACAAGCTTGTGAGAAAAGAGAGAATTAAAAATTGAGATGAGAGAAGACAAAAACAACTAACAATCCCTTAGTGCAGGACAAAATAAGATAAGAGTCTTCAAGATTGGATGGTAAATTATGTCAGCCATCCTATGACATTATTGCTGGTAAATTCATGGGTTTAGGGGACAAATGGAGGAGATTAGGGGTGGGCATAATACCGACCGAACCGAAAAACCCGACCGAACTGTAAACTTTGGTTCATTCGGTTTTGGTTTTTCGACTTATTCGGTCGGTTTGCGGTTTATGTATTCCATAATTTTGGTGTTTGGTTCGGTGCTCGATTTTGCAACTTCGATTTTCGGTTAAACCGAAAAACCGAAGTTTTCTAAAATGGGTCCTAGCCTAAGTTGCTCTGACACGGCAGTTTAGGTGTCGTACCCGTGTCGACACGACACTAGTATGGGTGTGGGTATGGAATCTGTACCGGATTTGGTCAAACAATTATGGGTACTTTGACCGCGATGGACGGGTAAATTCGAGATGAGATACAATTTGATTTTCGAAATCAGAACCAAAACTAGGGTAAATTTGAAGAAAATAGCATACATATCTAGGAAATCAATCATTTACTTATCTACAAGTTGAGAATAAAAAATAAATCCACACTTTACAAGCTATACATAAGTATTCCACAAAATTTCTCATAATTTAGATATTTTTTTTATTTTTTTGAATTATTTTTAGTCGGATCCCTGCACCCGTATTCGTACTAGGATCCATGTCATCGAAAAAATTTACATCTCGAAGGTCCGACCTCTAGATCTGCACCCATGTCGGACACCCGCACCCGTGTCCGAGCAACTTAGGTCCTAGCCTCTGGACTCCTCTTAAGTTGTCTAGACCAACTTTTTCACATATTTACATTATAAAATTTGAAGCCCAAACCCAAATAAAGTCCCACACTCTAAAAATTATCCCTTTTTGTTTGCCAATGCATCTTTCATCTTTGTTTGCTTGTGCGTCGCTGATGTTGTCTACGAGATAATTATATTGCAAGTAATATTTGTCAAATAAATTTATATTTCCTACATCAACTAAATGATTTGGCTAATCATATTATAAAAGTATCGCGTTTTCGAGTTTTAGTTGCACTAAAACATGAAATTAGTCATATTTTTTAGTAGAAAAAGTCCGATTTAAAAGCTCAATACGATAAGACCAAACCGACCGAATTGAATCGAAAATTGACCGAACCGAACTAGCAAAAACCGAAGAAACCGAACTAATTTTGGTTCGGTTATTGGTGCACCAAATAGAAAACCGAAAACCGAACAAACCGAACCGAACTTCATGAAAACCGAACCGAATCAACCGACGCCCACCCCTAGAGGAGATGGAACAAATTATGCATTTCTACTGCTACGTTCTCTATTCTGGTGAATGGGAGTCCATGTTTTTTCTTTGGGAGTTCGAGAGGGAGTGAGACAGGAAGATCTATTATCTCCCATGTTATTTATATTAATGATGGAAGCGTAAAGCAAAATGATGGATATGGCGGTCTCTTGAAGTCTTTTGAGGGGTTTCTTAGCTTCGTTTAGAGGGCATAGCAACATGATGGTCACTCATGACTCACCTTTTATTTGCAAACGACATTCTGGTTTTTTGTAATGCAGAAGTTTCCCAGATACCATATTTAAGGCAGATTCTTATCTGGTTCCACGTTGTCTCGAGACTCAAGATTACCCCTAGTAAGTGTGAGATCAGTCTTGTAGGAGCAGTGGACAGTATTGAAAAGATTGCACAGGTGATGAACTGCAAGGTGGGTATTTTACCTATTACCTATGCTAGATAATTAATATAATGGTAAATAAGTATAGTTACACATGAAATAAGATTAGTGTATGTATTGTGTAGTGTTATAAATAGGGGTCGATTAGTGTATATATTGTGTATTGTTATAAATATGATTCCTTGTATTATAGTTAAACGCATCAACAATATATTTTTACTCTGATATTTCTCACATGGTATCAGAGCGGCAGTGAGAAATATCAGGGATAGAAAAAAAATCAGTCACTGTGCGTCTTTCCGGTGACTCCTCAGATCTGATCTGCGTAAACACACATTCGATGAGTGTTGTGCAAAAACCAACACCATCATTAGGTTCAGAAAGCACCGACGACCAAACCCCAGTCAACCTCTCCGGCAGCAGGCCCCTCACGCGCTGGCAAAAGCTAGGGTTCCGGCGAGTGCGTGAGTTCACGCGCCGGCGAGTGCAAACTTTTCCGGCCACATTTTGACAAAGCTCATTCAAGACAGTTTGATAGTCCACTAATTCCGAGCCTACTCATACCTTTTTTTTTATTCCGATCACTTTGAGATTTTTCCGGCGGCTACAATGATTTTTCCGACGAAGCTTCTTTTTGACAGATTACTCACGAGGTTATTCCAAGTCTGTCCATTCAAGTCTCATCAAATTCCGACAACCTTTTTTATTTTTCGACAAGACCTGTGCAAATTACGGCGACTGATCAGTTTCTGACGAACCACGGTGTTCTTTTCCTCACTGTTTCTATGAGTTATTATTGTTCTTGATTGTTTCTGCTATTTTTTCCAACAATGTCTTTGGGCCTAGATGTTTTTGGTTCTAAAAGCACGGGTTCTGGAAAGTCAAGTTTGATGATTACTTCGGAATCCTTAATGGGAAGTTCAAACTACTTAACCTGGGTTTCTTCTGTTGAGTTGTAGTGCAAGGGTCAAGGTATTCAAGATCACCTATCCAAGAAGGCTAGTAAAGGAGATGAAAAGGTCAAAGCGCAGTGGGAAAAGATCGATGCTTAGTTATGTAGTATCCTATGGCGATCTATTGATTCCAAGTTGATGCCTTTGTTTCATCCATTCCAGACATGTCATTTAGTTTCGGAAAAGACTCGCACTTCATACACTAATGATATATCTCGTTTCTATGATGTGATATCGCGAATGACAAACTTGAAGAAAAACTAATTTGATATGCCTACTTACTTGGGACAAGTACAGCAGTCATAGAGGAAATTGAGAAATTGATGCCAGTTTCGGCTAGTATTGAAAAGCAACAAGAGATGTTTCTAGTTGTTACACTTGCTAGACCTCCTAATGACCTTGATTGATTCAGTATGTGACCAGATTTTGGCTAGTCCGACTATCCCTACAGTTGATGAATTATTCTAATACTTCGCCTTGCTGCAGCACCCAGTCACCCAGTGATCTCATCACTAATCACACAGACAGTTGACTCCTCTATTCTCACATCAGAAACAATGAAAAATTGGGTATCTCAAACTATGGAGAATAGACGATGAGGAGGTCGTTTTGAAAGATCTCGACCCAAGTGCTCTTATTAGGGGTGGGCATAAAATCCGAAAAATCGAATTCCGAACCGAACCGAATTAAT